GCTGTTTACTGATTATCACTACAGACAAGTCATCAAGTACTTGACTTATTCATTGCTACTAACCTATTATATTGCAAGTTTTACTGTTCACTACAATGATTCAATTATTAATGAGACATGTAGACATTATTGAATGAAATATATTTATTAAACACAACAGGGACAGTAAATATTGAACACAGAGCCCATATTACAAAGTCACACATATACAACAAAAATATATACAGCAAATATAGCAATGTATATAGTATAAAATAATCTAATTATTAAAATGAGCAATATCATATACACGACAGAACACTCCCCTTTTCTTTCTATTATTTTCCCTTTTCAACCTCCCATCTCTTGTTTTCTTTTTCATAAAAAGCAGACCCCTGGAACTCTTCCCAGGTCATCTCCTTCTCCGTGCCCTGGTCTTTGTAGAGGGAAAATAATTTAACAGGGCAGGAAATGTACTTCCCTGTTACTCCAGGGAATCCAATATGAATATGAGGACTGTTTCCGTTCTATCAGAAGCGACACTTGCGACCTGTGTGCTGGGATTCAGTCCTCTTCCTCTTTTGCTGTCCTCTCTCCTCCACCCTTTTCCTTGTAGCATCCAGTTCCATCTGAAAGTACTTTGGTGAAGGAAGATACAGTATCAGAGATACTGTCGATTAATTCTGGCTGGGGAGGGAAATGCCACAATGACATGAGGTGCCGCACAGGAAAGGCGCCTGGCCAAAGACCCATGGATTCCAGCTCTGATCCAGATCCTCTGCTGCTGTGAACAGTTCCACTGGCTTTTTCATGGTCGTAGCCAGGGAGCTGTGGAGGAGGACGGGTGGGGACAGCCTGGGTAATGGCTCCCCTAGCCAGACAAGAATAAAGACATAGCAAATTAATACGATTTTGGGTGCGACTTGATTTATTCTTTTTGACATGCACACAACCAAAGAAAATATATTTATATATAGTGCCTCTGACATTATAGAGAATATTAAACGTGTTATTATTATTGACAGTAAGATGAAGCAAGAATGTAACATGACATCTACACTGTAGTTCGTGAAACTCGGCAAGCTGGCCGCTGGAGTGCTGCCTACATTTTGTCCGAAAACAGTGCACTAGTATCTAATCTACAACAATGAAACAGACTTTAAAGAATTAACAACAGTTTTGATGGACACTACATATTGATATTTTTAAGATGCAAATACAGGTCAAATGGTACACACCAGGGACTGTGACAGTCGCCTCTGTTGATGGATGACCTGTGTTCTGGCAGCAGACACATGAGCTCCTGGAGTTAGAGCAGCAGCTGCAAGGAGAGAAGGATCACAAAACATAATCGATGGTTTATAATAATATGAGCACAGTGAATATGACAGATGTTTAAATGTTACATGCATTCACCATCTACTTGTGAACCCTTCAGTTCAGTCGATGCAGCCAGTGTAGCAGATGGTTCTACAACGGAAAAAGCCTTGTAAGTCATTTATATTTTGACAATATACAAACACTACTGTTTAAAAGGCAGAAAGTATCATTACTTCACCTGCCTTTCTCAGCCTTATCCAACGAAACAGACTGTTTCACACATTAATATATAAAGAATATACTTCATTCATGCACATGTGTTTATGTTTCAGTGGGTTAATTTTCAGTAGCCGTCATGATTTAACCTAGGTGAAGCAACATGGCACACTTTAAACACATGCATTCAGGTGCAGCAGTTTCACATGTATATATATTTTTTCTTTTCATCCATATAAGAAAACAAAGAGTGATACATACCCTCATCATGACTGGTATCAATTCATAGTCACTAGGACAACAAGTAGAACACCAAAACACAAGCGGGACTAGAATACCGTCAGCATGAGACCGAACGGTTCAAGTCATGCTTCATGTGGGATAAGAAGTCGTGGTCCTAGTGTTGTCGGTTGACAGCAGGACGTTTTTGGTTAAAAACCTCTTTCTCTGATGCAGAAACAGCTGTTTAACACAAACAAAAAATATCATATATACTGAATTGAATACACAATTAATAGCAAACTGGCTGAACTGAAACTGATTTTGTGTTATAGTGGCTAGCATGTCTGCCTTCAAAGACGTCTACTTGGGCTCCATTCCCGGCCAATCCCTTGTTTGATGTCATTGTCGGCAAGTGTCAATTGATGGCCTGCATGTGGTGGTTTGGCTTTTTGTACATTTTATCGTTAATGTCTTTGATAATGAAGTCGTTTGGGATTTGCATGTGGCTTACCAAACTGCAGCACGTACCCCCCATCACCTCCTGTCTGAAGGACCACAGGAGTGTTGGTCTTCACCAGATCATGTGTCTGAGCGGGTCACTTGTCCTGAAGCGGTGGATCTTTTTTAATCCTCATGGCCTCATCGGAGGGGTCCTGCCGCAGATGGCCCGATGGACCCTTCCTGAACGACACCGCCATCCTTCCTGGGAAGAAGTTGATCGTCCTCTTCATTATCTCCGAGCACATCGAGCTCCTCACGTTAACGTTGATCAGCATTTGTAATAACTAGGTAACAGCATTATATATCACACAGATGAATGGATGGCTGGATAGATATAGATAGACAGATATATAGAGAGGAAAACGTGTTTGAAATAAAACTTGAAACCATAACAGACATATAATGTAGTATTTACCCATTCAAAATGTACACTGAGCTTGTCTGAAATACGACTGTAATAGAATATTCACTATGACAATTGACGAAGGCAAACTACGATAATAAAAAGGCCAATATGATTAATGAAGACAAGCTAATAAGTAACTGTTAATGCTGACAGAGAACGTTACATACATACAGCAAATATAACCTAGATGTGCTAACGCGATGTCAGCTAACAACAAACCGAGTTAGAACCTGACAATGCTAAAACAACACAACTTAAGCAAACTATAGAAACACTTTACCCACATATACAACTGACAAGCGTTCATTTAGTACTTGAACAAATGAGCCGTACTTACGTTTGATATGTTTGACTGTTTGTCCGAAGATGGAGCCGTGATGACACTCTGTGTAAAGCACAGGTTGTTGTCTGTAGTCTGTCTGCTGCTGCTGTAGATGCTGGGACGTCTGTCACTCAAAGGGGAAAACGGGGTCTCCTCACTTGTATGGAAGGGGAGAAACAGCGCCCCAAAAATCGTGCTCGTGGTCAGAAATACATGACACCCGTAGTGATAAGAACTACCATAGGAAATGAATGGGAAAAGTTAAGAGAGTTAATAAGTATTTTCGGCTCCCACGAGCACGAGCAGGAAAGAACCCCCTTTCGAAACTGGGCAGAAACACTATTCACTATTCCTGCTTACTCGACACAATAAAACTCTACTTAGTGGAACTGTCAGTGAACTGGATAATAAGTACAACTGCCCCAGTGTTAGCTTTTCCTCCACACAATCAAAGTCTTCTGAGTTGCGTTCCCAGCAAAGTGGATGAAAAGAAGCACTATGTGAATAATGTTTTCTCTCAGAGATACTTGAATTCTGTTAATTGGGGCAGCCACTCACTCCCACACAGGGGTGAGCAATCCTCCACTTTCTGGTTGAGAACCACGGCCTCGTACTTGTCAGTGCTAACTGTAATCCTGAAAGCTTCACACTCGACTGCAAACTGCCCCAGTGTGTGCTGAAGGTCACGGCCTGATGAAGCCAACAGATCAACATCATCTGCAAAGAGCAGAGAAGCAATTCTGAGGTCCCCCAGCTGCACCTTGAGTTGTGTTGGTCGGGATCCGGAGTTCCTCAAAGAGCTTGGTCCACCATTTGACATTACCCCCAGTCAGGGACAGCAGTTCTCCTCCCTTGTTGAAAACAGCCTAAGCCAAAGCCTCGTAGGTGCCGACTCTCATCCCAACCGCTTCACACTTGACTGAAAACTGCCCCTTGTGTGCTGCTCCTGAGTTATTGTTTGCCAAAACTTCCTTGAGACTAACCAGAAGTCCTTCTCCATAGCTTCCCCCCTAAACCGTGTGGTAGGAATATATTGAAGAATTTTGCAGCATGCACCTCTTAATTGACAAGGTTCCACCAAGACTTGAACTCCCATCACTGGATTCAAAGTCCAGAGTGCTGACTATTACACCATGGAACCCAGAGAGCAGGCTTGTCGAAAGTAAATGTGTCAATAGTAAGTATGCCAAATCACATTTCCATTTACTCGAAAATTGCACCTTGCGTCTTGACGGTTTTAGTGACCTCCAGTATAGATCTGTATCTGAACTAAAGGACTGTAGTCCCTGTTGTGGAACAATCTGGAAAAGATTGCACTTTCACAAAGTCCTAAGTGAAATAGCTGGTGGCTGGGGCAAGGGGGTATTTTATATCGGTAGAAAAGACTAAATATGTCAGATATGTTAATAGGAAAATGAAATGGCAAGGTTTAATAATGTACAAACAGACCATCGTGAGGGTAGGAGAAGTTCAAGTCTTGGGTTGTACTTACGTGGATAAAAGATTAACATAGAAAAAGCATACATGTATTGACACTGTGACTAAGTGTGACGAGGTGTTCTATGTATTACGGAGGGAGTACATGGGCTGCGGGCCAGGATACACAATCAATAATTTACAGAGCAATTAAAAGATTAAGATTACATTATGGCTGTTTTGTTTTGAACAGCAGGCAAATCAGCTCTCAAGATATTGGATGTGCAAGCAAAGGCACTGTGAATATGTGTTGGGGCCTTCCATACTCCACATGGAACAAGGCAATGAAAATTGGCTGTGCAGTGTGATTAAGTTACGATTCTTATATTAAACAATGTAAGTACTAGACGTCATGATCTACACTCCATACCCGTTGGTGGCGGTAATGCGCAAATTCATTGTTTGCCGCCAATACACTTCAAAAAAGAATAAGAAGAGCGTCCGCGACTGCGCACTGGCCTTTACGTATCGAGTCCCATTTCAAATGCGGCTTGAACCGGGAACGCTACATTGAGGAAGAGTCGGGTGACGGACAACGCAACTTAGCGTGAGTGATCTCAATTAAGCCCTGTTTTGTAGGTTTATGACTTTATATAGACGCAGACAGTGCAAGTCTGGTGGTGTCTCAATCTGAAGGTATTTTCGTGTGTTCCTGATATGCCCGATATAATAATGCTAACCGACAGCTAGCGTCAACGCTAAACATGAGCTGTTGGCTCATTATCTTGTCCACATAAACACAAGAGTGGTGTCTAGCATTGAGTAACGTTAGACGCAAAAGTTCACTTTTATGACTACCCCGAAGTTGGCTTAACGGTTCACTTTTTTAAGGGGAACTTAAATGAACGAGCAGCCGATGAAACCTTTATTTTATTTGTGATTTCGCTGCTTTGTTCTCCTCCAGACTAGCGTTACACGATGATAAACACACTAACATTACACACACTAACATTATACTGCGTTAACCAGAGACTCCAACTAGTTTCAGAATTTGTGAAACCGTTATTTTTTTATTTCTTTTACCATCGTTGCTTGTAGTTGTACAGTTTGATATAAATAGATTAACCCGAGGTATTAAGTACATTTACCAATGTTGAAGTTGTATTTATGAAATTTACCAGGTAACTCTTGTTAATGTGCCACGTTTAATGAATTGAATGTGTCCCCTAGTCAGCAACATGAGTGAGCTGGAGGACGTCAGCCACCACATTCATGACAGGATCTCATCGGTACACCGCATGCTGGATCTGTCAGTGGTCGGTATGTTACAGTGATTTGATAGGAGACCAGACCCGTAACGTTGGTTTTTTACTTCTCTTTTATTATTATTATTATGCACAGCTTAAGTGTTGTGCCATTAAAATGTGTAATTGTGTTTGTTTCTCTCTCCACATTTAGAATTGCCTCAAAGAAAGAAACTTGGACAAGAATTTGTGGCACTCGAGAAACTTCTGGAGGAGTTTGAAAGATGTGTTGGTCGACAGAAGGAGCAACTAAAGCAGCTGAAGGTAAACTTCAGCCAATGCCATCCAGTTTTGCACCAGGCACCATACGTTTGTTTCCATTGCTGCTTAAATTCAAACTTGACCAGTGCTGGATTGTTGAGGCCAATAATGATATTTAGCCAAATATTGGTCAGCATTCAGTTTTTGGGATTTCTAACACAAAATGCATTTTGGATAAGTCTCGTATAAATTGTGGTTATTAAAGAACAGGACACAGGACATTTTAGAGCAGTGATTCTCAATTGACACATTGATTTATTTAATCGCTGTATTTCACAGCAGCCTTTCCCTGAACTGGAGGTAAGTACTTGATTTACAACTTGAAATGGTTATGACAGATTGATTTCATCACTGCAATAAACCTAAAATGCAGTGAAGATGGTCACTGGTCAGTATTTGAAATGCTTTATAGAATGTAACATCAGTTATAATCATTCTGTCACTCCAACAGGAAACCAAAAATATAAAACGGAATAACGTTAGATGACACACGTGTTGTTTATCAAAAATGCTCCCCCTTACTGAAATCAGAGCACCCCCCCACACAGCAAATACCAAATTCATCTCCTGCTTTGGTCGCGTGACGACACGTAAACACAGTGTTCTCTGCTGCTGCTGCTGCTTCCACGTTGACGAAGGGCTCCGGGATGCTTTTGCTTTAGAAAGTGCAGGCCCGTTGTAGAGCTGTGATAGACATTTCTCATTCTCAGTTTGCTCCACACTGTTGAGTTTCTGTCTGAAATACTTCCACCCTGAAAACAATCACAGGGTCGTGTTTCCCTCTCTGAGGACCGGGCACTGCCAGACTTCTTGCTCCGCACAGACACACGCTCTGCAAACAGACTTATTTTTGTTTCTTGTTTACGTTGATTACGTCAAAGAATCCCAGCCCTAAATGGAGACACCGTTTCTGAATAACCTCAACCATACGTCCTGATTTTTGTTTGCTTGTGTTTAAGGAACTTGAGGAGACGTTCCAGAAGGACTTGGAGGATGTCCAGCACCTTAAGGAGAACATACCTGCACACATGCCCAGAAAGAAAGGCCCAGCAAAGTGAGGACACATGTTTGATGCTTTATGCTTGATGATTTTCAATGGACCACTGGCCACCAACCATTGTTCTAATACAGATCCCAAATGAATAGATGAGTCAACAAGTACAGACTCAGACTGCATCCCTTGTATCTAGTTGATTCATTTAATGCAATTGAAACTTGAATTAATCAAGCATGCACTATAGGTTATATATTACAGGTCACGCTAACACACGCAAACAGAGAGAGACACACACAAGCAGCCTTCACAGCTCCTTCCCAGATGTTGGGGGTTGTTTCTGAGAACAATACCGTGCTAGTGGATCACGAGTTCAGCTGTGTAATGTCTCTCGTCTCTCAGTGGAGGTGAACCCGTACTGACCCAGAAAGAAGCCGCAGATGTTCAGCCGGCCCAGTCCGAAAACGTCAAAAAGACCAACAAGAGCGTCGTCCGAGAGATTGAGGTCATCACCTTGCCAGAGTATGAGAGCATCCCACCGTAAGTCTCACCGCTCACTAATATTCAACATGATGAGATATAATGGTTATTGTTCATGATGTCAGCTGGGGATTGCACTCTAACCTCTTCTTGGTCGTTGTATACCGAGCATGGCGTTTTACACGAGCTTTCCTTCATCTGCTCTTGTTGGTGCTGTGGTTTGACTTTACCTGACGGCTGGCTCAGTAACTCTTCTCTTCTGACTCGTGGTGAGACACCACAGATCTCACTATCAGGAGCTGGCCAGCCAGCGTTTCTCAGATTGGAGTGAGACGAGGAGAAAAGGTGATGTCGTGATCTTCGCAATAGAACATCTTTGATGTGTCGAGTCTTGGCCAATCAGCGTTCAGATGTCTACAGCGTCTTCATTTCCCTCCGTTAAAGTTTATGTTCCGTTACCGTTCAGACTTGCTGGGTTAAGTTAATGTCCACTGCATGCGGAACTTTGTCGACTGTTGACGTTCATCATTATCGCGATTTAGAAGGAAAAAACCTAATGTGATGAAACATGCAGCCCCCCCCGTGTTCCGGTTCAGTTCACGCGGTCACTCGTTAACGTTAAACCGGAACACCGGCGCATCTGGTTGCAAGTTGTTTTTTTTTTAACTCTAAGTAGAATGAGGATGATTTCGTGGTCAAAATAACTTTTATGACCACGAAACATGAGGCCCAGATACTGATGAGATGATGAGGTCAAAGAGCTTCAGGAAGAGGAGGCTGTTTGTAGCGCAGCTTGACGCAGGGCTGAGCTGTGAGTGGAGCTGGGCCTGGATAAAGGTGGGTCTGGATAAAGGTGGAGCTGGGCCTGGATAAAGGTGGAGGTCTAAACAGACGTGAGTACAGCTTCCTGCTGTCAGTGTTTTAAATACATTGATAAGGCAGGGTATGCTAAATGCAGCCTCCGCTCCAAGGAGATGAACTACAGCAACAAGGGCTCATATGTCCTCTCATCACTGTTCACTGTGATGACCACAGCCAGAAGTTAATATGAAGCCGTACAGTAACAGGGTTCAATGAAAACGAATCACTTTATTTTGTACAGGCGATGGTTCTCGCTACTCTTGCTATCTTTGTTTTTATTTGACCAAAATGAGACCTCGGTCTCATTGGATTTTGTCTAAATAAAGGTTAATATTAATAGAGCTGAAATAGTGATTAATAACTGAATAATACATTAGTTTTTTTTGCTTAAAGTAAATGTCTTATCACTTAATTTTCTTAGAGTACACCAGAATGCTACATTTTAAAGCTCATATTTAAAATAAATATGAGCCCCCCCCCCCGAAAGGGTTTCGGGCTTGTCACCTTTTTCACCTCATGAGTTTGCAGGTATGAAGCTTACATGTACTGGACTGGTTGGTCCACAAAATAGTTTTTGGCTCTGCCTAAAGAAAGTAGGACAGTAATTGTAAAAAGTTCAGGTGTTTCACATTGAGATGTCTGCATTCAGTTTTCAAATCTCTCTGTGGAGTGAAGTTTGTCCTGAGGTTGTTTGTTGTCTTCTGCACTGTGACTCATGCCTGCTCTACACGTCACATTTGGTTTCACTTTCATTCTCTGAAAAATAGACACAAATATCCCTGTTATGTAGCATGTGTTAGTTAAGACTCTTTCTTTTCTAATGACATGTTTGACCATATTCCAGCTCTGAGTGGATAGCACATTAAGGAGGTTTCTTTGCTGTATGTGTTCACGTTGAAGCTTTCTTTATAAGCTGTATGTTCTCTGAAGCTGGTCATCGTGTCCCCCTCAGGTACATGAAAGGACGCGTGTCGTATCATCAACTCAATGCAGCCGTGCAGAGCATCAACACGGCTGTAACAGCCAAGTACAAGATCCTCCGTCAGTCGGCGAAAACTCTCAACAATCAAGCGCGCAAGCTGCACCAGCGCTTCAAGGACCAGGAGACGAAGGATACAAAAGGTACACTGATCAGTAATAGAGAATGCATTTACTAGGACCCTTTGAGTAGTACACTCAAGACTAGTACACTGCTCTAAGCTAAGTTCTATCCTCAATAAATGCTGATGTGACATTTTGATCTGATCCCATACATCAATACACTAAGTCCAAGTGGTGACAAACCTGTCCAAATGTCTTTCAGGTCAGTATTTTGTGGTGGACGACGACATTCGCGAATTTACTCAGATGAAGGCAGACAAACGATTTCAAGGGATTCTGAACATGCTGCGACACTGCCAGCGCCTTCGAGAGCTCCGAGGAGGGGGCATCACCCGCTACATGCTGCTATGAAGCAGCAGATAATACTGTTTACACATGTATATAATGTTGTGGTGGAAATGGTTAGAAGTGAACTTTGCATGTGTCAACAGCATTTTATATTATTAAGCTAAACAAAGGAAAATCCAAATAAAACTTTGAATGTTAATAAATGCTTTTAAAATGTCTCTCACGGTTTTATATTGTAGCATGTTTACTCAAGATGACAACATGCGGTAAAACATGTTTATTTCAAGTTATGGCATTCTGTAGAGGTCCTGCCAGTGTTTCTAGGTCAATAACGTTTATATTTTATTGTTTAACATAGGCTGGCCTCAAAATACATTGTTTTAATGACTGCATGCCAAATGTCATTTCTAAATGCGTTGCAGTCCTTCAGCTTAACAATACAATAAGGTGAATGTGTCATTGCTGTATTCTTATTCGTTCATCGTATTCATAAGCATGAACTCTGCAGTTGATAGTGTTGAACCCGGATCCAACCGTCCACCATGAGCTTCATATCGCATCATACCAATGAGGGCGCAATGCAGGTTATTCTTAGTCCAATAACACAAATTAATTTTCTTGCATGAGCACAATATGAACAATCATTTCTTCATAAGGATTCCTTGCATTATTATTTTGAAGAATTGTGACTGACTGTAACAGACTTGGAATGGCATTGAAGGAGACAACTCAGATGGTAGCTTTCCAGCATTTATTCGCTGCAGAAGACAACATAAATCACAGTTTCTTGCTGGTCTCACTCTCTTTATGCATCCGCTCCCTCAACAGTACGAAACACCACTGTCAGGGCAAGTCGGGACTAACAGCGACATCAAATGGACAAAACAAACAACTACATGAGGTGGAATGATTAACAGAACCCGCGAAAATTATAACATTAAACAAAGGAAAATACATACCTGCAGAAGACAACATGAATCACAGTTTCTTCCTGGTCTCACTCTCTTTATGCATCCGCTCCTAAACATGCAAGACAACATAATTCACACAAAGGAATGCTAAAGTATCTTTGTCGTTAAGTTATATGACAGGGCCTGACGTAAAAGTAAATGGCGCCAAAAAGGCTAACTGAAACAGCCACTAAACTTATATTTTCCACAGTCAAAACGGCACGTAACAGCTTGATAAGGTCATCGCCTTAGCAGTTACTAAAGTACGTAGCGTAAACAGTTACATTCCCGAAGAAAACAACAAAACAGTGCAACAACATTATTCCACACAACTTACCCTCAACAGTACGAAACACCACTGTGAGGGCAAGTCGGGACTACGGGGGCTTTGGAGGTACAAAAGAGGCGAGACGCCGCTTCCGCAGGAAGCATTAACAAAATAAAATGCTAAATAAAAATAGCTCATAAAGATAGAATTCACACATACTCAACAGAATAATAAAGTACATTTTTAACTCTGTTACATGAGCAAGACATCTTACAATATAAACATGTCGGTGCTCTCTAGTGGAGACATCACTCAAAAGAAATATTTGATTTTATGGTATTACAAAGCTGAGGTGGTTCTGGCATCTAATCAGGATGCCTCCTGGACGCCTCCCACTGGAGGTTTTCCAGGCACGTCCAACTGGGAGGAGACCCCGGGGAAGACCCAGAACACGCTGGAGGGATTACATCTCCCAGCTGGCCTGGGAACGCCTCGGGATCCCCAGAATGAGCTGGAACATGTTGCCGGGGAGAGGGAAGTCTGGGTCAGCCTGCTTGGCCTGCTGCCACCGCGACCCGACACCGGATAAGCGGAGGAAGATGGATGGATGGATGGTATTACAAAGCTCTTCAATTGTTTTAAGGTTCTGTTTAGTTTGCTCCAAGAATAAAAACGCTCATGTTTTGCATTGGACATGTGTATATTATTCAGCTCCTTTAATAGGACACCTAAGTCATCACTGGTACAGCCAGTTGCTTCTGGAAGTCATATGTTAAGTTAAATGGGGATGGCCTGTGTGTCGAGGGGTTTCAGCTGATTGTAGTATAAATAGAAATGTATCTGGAAGTTCCACCTTCTGGTAAAACCACCATGAAGAGAAAAGAATACTGTTGGGAACATAAAGGAGCGTGTTTGGGTTATCAGCATCTAAGAAACTAAATTCTTGACATCAATAGAATTATTAATGATTATTAATAACGGGGCACCACCCTGCGAACAGGGACCAATAACCAAACGATAAAACTAAGTCTCATAATTAGTGTTCACTCACAATGTCAACAGTCTGAGTACTATTACACATTCAGAGTGAAAGTGAAGGTTTAAGTTTGAGCACAGACCACATATATAGCTATTATCACAATACACATGCACAAAGTAATCACAGACAGCTGCTCTTTAAAATATAACAGAGTTTATTACGTTCTAATACTAATGATCTAGTCAACTAATATCTAAACCAGGGGTCGACAACCTTTACTATCCAAAGAGCCATTTTGCCCTATTTTCCACCAAATAATATTTGTCTGGAGCCGCAAAAGCCATTTGATATCACAGCCTATAAAGTGTTATATATAGTTATATTATATATACAAAAACTATAGTTTGTTGTATTTATGAAAATATAGAACAAGAATAAAGACAATTCTTGACATTTTTTTGCAATTTTACCTGATATAACAATATCAAACTCTTATGAAGAGGAGAGTTTGCTGCGGCAGCTGAGAAATCGCTCTTTGTCGCTCATCTCCAGCGTGACACTTTTCAGCACATGCTGTGTGCTTGTTCTGGAAGCATACAGGTAAGTCAGCATCGTTGGCAGTGAAAGCAAATGAAGACGTCCACGCAGAGTTAAACTCTCTATTTTCCTCCGTGACTTTTCTTTATTTGGATTTATCCATTGATAGTTTACAGAGGGCGGGGGTCTGAAAATCATGATTCATGATTCATTCTTGATTATAAATCATATTCCCTCTGAACACGTTTCTCTTTTTGGAGAACGTCATGTGAGATAACTTCTTCGTTCAGCGCAATTTCCCTGCTCTTCTTTCTATTTCCTCGTCTCAGCCCCGTGTGTCACGTGTGTGTAAACGTCGCTCGAAACTTGTCAGAATACCCATATTTGATTGGCTGAGCTGCATTACGTGATGTGATTTGCAATGCATTGGTTGGTGTGTTTCCTGCACCGCCGAACAAGTGCCGTAACGGCTGAATAAGAGGCGCCGGTTAAAATTTAAACTCGGTGCCCAATATGTATAATTCCAAATTATCTATCGGTTTTTCGTTCCTGGGTCCGGATCCGGTTCGCCAGTTGGGAGCCACAGGTTGCCGACCCCTGATCTAAACTAATGTAACAGACTGTCTCATGTTTGTCATTCTGGTGTTGACTGTTGATATGTTCCTTTATCTCCACTCTCATCAAAGACATCTCCTCTGTCAGTTTATCGACTGCCTTCTGCAGGGTATTATCAGTTGACACTGACTGCACAAACACACTGTCCCCGAGTCTATGGGTGGCTGTACGGTTACTCACACGGTCTCTCTGCAGAGCCTCCCTGGCATTTTCGCACCGTTCCGCGATAATCAGAGCCTCCTCCAGATCAGTGGCGCCCTGCTCCAGGCATTTGGATCTCAAAGCAGCATCCAAACCGGCAAGGAAGCGTCGAAACTTCTCTTCCCGCTGCGTTACGGTTCCATAGTCCGGGAATGCCTCCAAGGCCAGTCGGCTCACGTCGGCGGCATATACCTCCAAGCTCTCGCCCGGAGCACGCACGCGAGCCGCTAGGCTGGCTCTGAAGCGGTCCATAAACTGTCTCTGTCCAAATGCCACGGCGAGTTTTTCTTTAACAGCAGCATAATCCGACTTAACTGCGTCCGGAAGGCTGTCTCGCAGTAGAAAAGCCGACTGGCTCAAGCGGGTGGGCAGAAGTCTCACCAGCTCATCTCCGTAATCGCCGCCGCTCCCCACTGACGCTCTGACGGCAACTTCCAGCTGTCTCACCCAGCCGAGGAAACTCTGGCTACCGTCGCCAGAAAACGGAGCAGGCAGGTCCACATGGATGTCCCTGCTGGCCGAACGTCTGCCTGATAGCCCTGAGCTGGGCTTCCACGGGTCTTCGTCTCCAGACCACATCACAGTGCCGCGGAGTTAGCCTGCTAACGTTAGCTAAACTATTTCGCCTGGATTGAGGCTCCAGTCTCCTCGGAGGCGTGGGTTCAAATCCACCAATGTAACCGAGCGTCTTGGGTTCATGTATTGCACTTATCATACCGTAATAACTGGAGTCGGGAGATTAGACATCTTGTATCAGCCCACGGCTATTATTTAAGTTATTTAAAAGTGTATGATTGTTGTAGGGTGTTTACTTTGTGAGCTGTGTTGCATGTGCCTTTATTTGTCACACACTTAGACATGCAGCCTCAATAGATGACATCTGGGAAGATAAGAGGAACCTTATACAGACCAACTGAGACAACAACTTCATTTGAATTATATTTGAACACATTTCAAAATTCAGTGGTCTCCTTAGCTTTCTATGACAAAGAATTTTAGACGTGTTTAGAAGTCTTATTTTAAAAGTCTAGTTTAAATATTGTAAGAGGAGGTACATTTCAAAATCTTAAGGGTTTAATAGAGTTAATATTTTATTTATCATATATCTCCAAAACTATAAAAGCAATAAAAACAGCACCGTCTTTGTTTATTAATCATCGTCATATTACAAAGTAACTTTCTTTTGAAAAGGTGTCTGTGATAAAACAAAAAAGATGAATAAATACATATTCCGATATTCATATTGCTTTGAGGATGAGTGTCCTGTGGGTTTGAAAATCTTTACCAACTGATTTAAAAAAAAAAAAAAAGTCATCTTAAGTCATTAGAATAATGACTTATTATAGAGCCCTATAATAAAAAAATAGGGCGCTGTTTAGTGCAAATGTGAACTAAACCCAAGCGACAGCTGAACATTCATTACATGGCGTTTGAATAAGTACAAGATGTAACTATGACAAGAGTCCATTGTTGAGCTCACAGTTTAGCCTTGTCCTGTCTATCAGTGGGACGGTCACTTGATATGACTTTAAATGAGGCCCGTCAGCGCGAATGCTCCGTCGACGACATCGTGATGTGAGTTTGCTGATGGATGATGCGTTGTCGTCTATTCTTAAACCTGGCGATGGATACTCTAAACATGTCGTTGCCACAGTGGATTATGAGAAAGGTTATGTCTGTTTTGAGTTCCACTCACACATGTTGTAATTACACACAACTAAACGAACTAAAGTTACTATTCCTCTCTTAAACCTCAAAGAGGCAAAGTAGCCGGTGGCACATTTCCATGAATCATCCTTTAAATCCTGCAGCTGACGCTGGATCAGCACATCTGCTTCAGCCTATGAATCCGCTGCAAACTGTAATTCTAGTCGAGACGTCTTTTTCTAAACCGAGACGCTCGTTCAAAGGCGGAAGTAGTGCATACCACTGGAATCACCAGAGGCCCCAAAATAGTTATCGCGATACTTATGTCACAATAAGATCTAATTGAGATTTTAAACATTTTTGCGATATGCTGAGTATTGCGAAAACAAATTCACCTCTGAATGTAAGAACTTGACTGCCTCACATGGCTGCATTTATATCAGTTTTTGATGCCCAAAGAGGGAAAATGATCCAATGTCACACAGAATACAAAGATCAGAGAAAAGTCCACCTCCATCAATCATCTCACAACCCCTCAGACTTATCCTTTGACCCTTGAGAGGGGCCCAACCGCTGTAGGATCCAATGATGAACCTTTACTTGTTAGGGTTCAAGGCCCAAAGGGGCAGAACCCCATTGAGTTTGTGTTGTTTTTTTATTATCTGTTCTCTGCTGCAGCAGCTAAAATTCCTGTGAGCTGGAACAAGCTACAATCATGAATCTTGGTCCATTAACTGAAAATCATGTGCAAGCGTTTCCCGAGAAATACGACTCCAATCGGCCCCAACGTGGCCGTGTATTTAACGCCCCACAAAGCACAAATTTGATACGGCCACGCCTTTCATAAGGTTCATCTCCTCCTAAACCATAGGGCTGATTGCTACCAAGTGTTCTGTGTAGCAGCATTAGACAAAGCTTATCAAAATGATCAAAAGCTTGTTCTATTTGTTTGTAAGATATTGACCAATATCATCTGCTCCTCCAGCTTTCAGTCATGTATCTGTTGCAGCTATCGGTGGCTCACACATGGGGTTTGGGCTACCTGCTGCAGTGCAGATGAGGCACTGTTTCAAGCTATCGTTTACATGCAGGAACACATGGGAACCCAAAGAGATTGGTAGAAAACTATTTGGTCGGCTTCATGGGAAACTACTCCCTCAGGATCTGTGTTATCTGAGCAGTTCTGTGGAGTCATATTTGTTCTGTCTCCCCATTGTGTTCAAAACTGGCTTACACCCTTAGCCTTTCTTTTCTCCCC